GATGAGGGCAATGAATGTACAAATGCGCTTTATACAATTGATGTATGTATGGATTGTGATAAGAGTTGTATGAGCCCCTAATAAAATTATTTATTAAAAAAAAAACCTTTGTCGAATTCACATTTTAAAAAGGATTACAACTCCCAATAAGCCCCGGGAGGGGCAGCCTTGTCCTCTTAGACTTGCTCAGAGAATACAGGAATTTGCTTACTTGACCTTAAGGGAACCCTGATGGTGCAGTGTTGATGTATTGTGCTGCAACCAGCAAGATCAGCAGTTCAAAACCACCAGCTGCCCCTAAAAAAAGTGACAGGGTTACTCACAGGGGCAGTTCTACAGGGTCACTATGAATTGGTATGGGCTTGATGTCAGTGAGTTGGGTTTGGGTGGTTTTTTGCTTGTTTGTTTGAGTTTTGACCTTTTAAAAAAAATCATTTTATTGGGGGCTCGAACAATTCTTATCACAATCCATACATACATCTGTTGTGTCAAGCACATTGTACATTTGTTGCCATCATCATTCTCAAAACATTTGCTTTCTACTTGAGCCCTTGGTATCAGCTTCTCATTTTCCCCTCCCTCCCCGCTCCCCCCTCCCTCGGGTTTTGTCCTTAAAGAATCCCAAGGATGCTAGCAGGTAGCTGTTGGACTGCCAACAACAAGATTGGCCTTGACATCAACCCCACCAGCTGCTCCAAGGGAGGGAGATGAGACTCTGTTCCTGAAAAGAATGAATGACAACTCAGAATTGCTGCGAAAAGTGTTATGAGTCAGAATTGACTCAGTGGCTCTGAGTTGGTCCAAAATAGCCACATGTTGTCTAAAGGGCCACCCCAGCTACCACATCGGTGATGGAAGCCAGAGAACCAACCCTGTAAATTTTAAAAATCTGCAATTGTATACGTTTCCCAATCATGGTCCTGCCCACCATCCACACGGATGGACTCACCTGGTGATGGAGCGTGAGTCTGTGATGATGTCCTTTATCTTCCTTCATCTCTAATTAACCCCATTGATCAAACTCTCCACAACCAAACTCCCTGCCAAAGCGTCCATGCCGACTCACAGCCCACTTGATGGGGGGGGGGGGGGGGCTGCTGTTAATCAAAAAACTAGAGCTATAACATAATTTAAGATTTTAGTTCATTAGAAATCCAAAATGAAAGTCCAGGAGTGTGAGGAAGACCTTCAGGAATGATGATCTGATGACCCTGGAAAAATGTAGGTGTCGATCCTTTCCTGTGATCAGTGAACACGAGGCGTTTTGGTCACACTATTTGGAGTATCAATTGTATCCTGTGATTGTTGCAAAACCTACTAATTGCTTCCAGCAATCATTGTACAACCTGCTTTCAGGATAGATCATTTGCTGGATTTTTGGAGGTAGCAAACCCCATGGTTTTGTGGTCCAGGGCTCTGGACCACAAAGCCCCTCTCTTGACACAACCTGAATTTAGTCTATGCTCAAATATTTCTCCATTGTTCCAAAAAAGAAATTTCTTCTCTGGGTTTTTAACAAGGAAAAAATGATAAATAATCTGGAGGAGAAAACAATGGGACCAACAGTTCCCAGGGACATGGGAGAGGGGGAGGCAGGGGAAAGGACGTGGGTGTTAACAAACCCAGGGACAAGGGAACAACAAGTGATCCAAAATTACAAAATAGATGGCAAAGAGGGTGTAGGAGACCTGGTAGGACTTGATCAAGGACAATGTAACCAAGAGGAGTTACTGAAACCCAAATGAAGGCTGAGCATGATAGTGGGAGGACAAGAGGAAAGTAAAAGGATATAGTGGAAAGAACTAGGAGGCAAAGGGCATTTATAAAAGTCTAAATACAGGCATGTATATATGTAAATATATTTATATATGAGGATGGGGAAAT